TGCTACCGCACTCTAGCCTGAGTGAGAGAGTGAGACCCCATTTTAAAAAACAAAAACACTGACAGAGAGCAGAGAAGTCTTCCAAAAAACGTCTCTGCACATGAAGCACTTTCTAAAATTATCAACTGGTTTAATTTTATTAATACTCTATGATTTATTATTCTTGAGGAGGTTATTTGTATGTAAAAGATTTAAATTTTTTTCCAACTTAATTTGCTCTATGCTCTTATGTTTTTAATAAATGTTCAACTAATAAAGTATGTACAAGTTGTTTTATTATTGCTATTATCATGAGATTAAGTGTTTCAAGTGGAACCCGTAATTGATTTTATTCACTTTTTTTTCTATTAATGAGCCTTGTTTTATTCATTTATTTATCCATCGTTTTGGTTTGGGCTTTGAATATTATAATTAGTCATAGTCTAATGCTTGATAAAATCTCATTAAAAATTTGTTTCCAGAAATAAAAAGATGCTCATCTCTAAAAACAGAAAAACAACATTAAATCAATTATTATAAAGGACAGATTATCTAAAATATATTTAAACCTACATAAGTGAAAATACTTATATTTTAATGCTTTTTTGATGTTTATTTTATTAAATGATAATTAATATTTCAATGTTTTCAATGTTTAACTGCATTTATTTTTTAAATTACATTTTTATTGCACTTTAATTTTTCAATTTATTTTGCATACTAAAGAATGCAAATAACCTCAATTATTTTTTGAACTTAATTTCTGACTACAAATGTGTGCAACTTCCTTAGTTCTTTATTCTTTGCACTTATATAGTCCTATGTTTTACAGATATGTTTCCATCATAATAAAAAATTTTATTAAAAGTGGAGGCTTCCCAAATTCAACAGATCCCCCATAAAAAAAAATAATAGTTCAAAAAAGGGTTTAAGTCACTACTGATGCAGGATGAGAAGTATCTCACATGTGGAACCAAGTTCTTCATAATTCTTCCTTTTCTTCAGCCTAAATGTCTTATTTCCTTCAAAATGTTATCAAGTAAAGCAATAGTGTCAAGTAAATTATACTGGCATCTCTTTACTAAGCAATCATTTTACACACAAGATTAAATAACAATTTAAACAAGGGCAAGTATAATATAAGAAATGAAGTTATCTTAGAAGTTATAGCAGGCTGGATGTGGTGGCTGATGCCCGTAATCCCAGCACTTTGGGAGGCTGAGGTAGGAGGATTACTTGAGATCAGGAGTTCAAGACCAGCCTGGGCAACACAGTGAGAACTCATCTCTATTTTTTAATTCTTAAAAAATGTTATAACAACATGAGGTATATAAAGTATATCTCATAAGGCTAGTTATGAAGTAAGTTAACAATAGCAAAAGCCCATGTAACACACAATTGCAGAACTGCTCATGTTACCAATATGTGTGGAAATTCTCAACATTTTTCAAAGGAAAGAGAAAAAGTGCCACTTTTGAATAATACTATCACTGGATAGAAAACATGTCAAAGATATGGAAATAATTATAATCCAGAATGGTTAAGTTGTAAATAGATCACCTCAGGTTAATCGATCCTTGTTAGTTAGTAACTGTGAAACCCCGAAGAGAAACGCTTAAAACATTATTTATTGTAAAGCTGCAAAACCAACTAGTAAGCCAAACAGTAAACGAACACTTTAAATAAGTTAAATATAATGGAAACACTGCATAAGGTATGTGCTGACAACACAGGTGCAAGGAAAAGACACTGAGATTCGGTTATGTGTGAGCTTATTCATAAAGAACTTATGGAAAGTTCATGTATAGGACTGAATTTCACATTAAATGGTTCTATCAGAAGGTGAGTCTAATAAAGCCTGAGAAAGTCAGACATGGCGACTCATGCCTGTAATCCCAATACTTTGGGAAGCCAAGGCAGGAGGATCTCTTGAGCCCATGAGTTCAAGACCAGCCTGGCCAATACAGGGAGACTCCCAACCTCTACAAAAAGTTTAAAAATTAGCCAGGCATGGTAGTGCCTGACTGTAGTCCCAGCTACTTGGGAGGTTGTGCTGAGAGGATCCCTTAAACCCGAAAGTTCAAGTTCGCAGTGAGCTGTGATCATGCCACTGCTCACCAGCCTGGTCAACAGAACTAGACCTTGACTCAAAAAAAAAAGCCCTAGATGTTTTCTAAAGAAGACACCTGCCAGGGGCCATGGCTCACGCCTGTAATCCCAGCACTTTGGGAGGCCAAGGTGGGTGGGTCATCTAAGGTCAGGAGTTCAAGACTAACCTGGCCAACATGGTGAAACCCCATCTCTACTAAAACTACAAAAATTGGCCAGGAGTGGTGGTGCACTCCTATAATCCCTGCCTCTTGGGAGGCTGAGGCACAAGAACCACTTGAACTCGAGGGCGGAGGTTGCAGTGAACGGAGATCACACCACCGCACTCCAGCCTGGGCGACAGAGTGAGACTCTGTCCCAAAAAAAAAAAAAAAAAAAAGTTAGAACAATACATTTGACGAAAGGTTTATCATTATTTTAGGAGGTTTGACATGGAAAAAAAAGTTTGAATCAAAAATCCATTTGCTTTATCACAAGAACTGTCGACTTCACATTTGTTAATGAAAGAAAAGGAGCTGTCACTAGATTTAAAGAATGATCCCATCATTAATGACATGTAAAAAGATCAGATTACCAAAATGTAGGTGAATGGTGAGAAAAGTCAGTAGGAGCAAAAACAATAAATGCTTTTCTCCCATTTGCTACCACTTACTTGTGAAGTAGCTTCTTGGTGGTAGGTACCAAGAAAATAAAGAGGTCTTATTAAAGAGACGTCGCCAGGAATTTTGAGTAGCAATTTCAAGCATAAAATCTGACTTTAAAAAAGTATATTCAGAAAGCACACTGAATTCTTCATTAAAAATGTTAAAATATTTTATTTTGGAAGTTTTATAGAAATTTAATATTTATTGTCCTTCCTTTCCCTTGGTCATCTTATGGTAATTATATAACATAAAGAAAACACAATGATTGTTTTAGCCTAGGCCCATGTAAGATGTCCCTAAAATTTCTCAAATTTACCCCATTGCGCCATATAGATATATTTACTTTTCTTTTTTTTTTTTAGACAGTCTCACTCTGTCATTCAAGTTGGAGTACAATGGCATGATCTCAGCTCACTGCAGCCTCCACCTCCCAGGTTCAAGCAATTCTCTTGCCTCAGCTTCCCAAATAGCTGGCACTACAAGTGTGCACCACCATGCCTGGCTAATTTTCGTATTTTTTAGTAGAGACAGGGTTTCACCATGCTGGCGAGGCTGGTCTTGAACTCCTGACCTCAGGTGATCTGCCCGCATTGGCCTCCCAAAGTACTGGGATTACAGGTGTGAGCCACCTCACTCGGCTGAGATATATTTACTTTCTATGTGTGACATTGATAGGAAGTCTGAGAAGCCTGTGCATAGCTAGAGTGTCTAATATGGAATTATCAAAATATGTAGTATATTTGATTGAGGTTCAAGAGCTACCATTATCCAAATATCATGACAAATTTCAAAATAACCAGAAAAAGTGTGATGGATTTACATGAGGTCCATCTTTACAAAATTGTATTGAAAAATAAAGAATTCGGCCAGGTGTGGTGGCTCATTCCTGTAATCCTAGCACTTTGTAAGGCTGAGACAGGTAGATCATCTGAGGTTGGGAGTTCAAGTCCAGCCTGGCTAGTATGGAGAAACCCTGTCTCTACTAAAAATACAAAATTAGCCAGGCATGGTGATGCGTGCCTGTAATCCCAGCAACTTGGGCGGCTGAGGCAGGAGAACTGCTTGAACCAGGGAGGCATAAGTTGCAGTGAGCTGAGATCACAACATTGCACCCCAACCTAGGCAACAAGAGCAAAACTCTGTCTCAAAAAATAAGGGAAGGAAGGGGGGAGGGGGAGGGGGCAGGAGAGGGGAGGGAAGAGGAGGGGGAGGGGAGGGGAGAGAGGAGGGAAGGATTCTACCACATTAAAAAGCTAAACCACAAAACTGAAGATAAGCTAAAGGTGATCAATCATAAATGATATACTTCAAGCTGATGCTGTAACTGTAATTATGTGGTTGAGGAAATATTGGATAGTAAAAGCCTAATGATTATTTTATATACTAATCTGAGTTATTTCCTTTGATGGTTATATTGAGGAATTGGTGACTTTTTCCCTTTGTTCTGCTTCCTTTGCTGTTTTCCCTAAATATGTCTGCTGAGATGAGCTAAAGAGAACATTTTTCCATAAGTTTCTCTAAAAATCTACCAGATGGGATCTTCTAAAGAATCCAACAGGATACACACTCTTCTAGGAGATCACTGGAGGTCCCAAACCACTCTAATATGAATGATACCAGGCCTCAAAGCTAACACTGAGAATGCACAGGTAAAAACATCAAATAGCAGGCATCAAGACAGAATACTACTAGCTTTTCATTTTTTTTTTTCTTTTTTGAGACGTAGTCTTGCTCTGTCACCCAGGCTGGAGTGCGGTGATCTCGGCTCACTGCAAACTCTGCCTCCCAGTTTTAAGCCATTCTCCTGCCTCAGTGCCCCCAACCCCTGCCTTGAGTAGCTGGGGTTACAGGCACCCGCCACCACACCTGGCTAATTTTTGTTTTTTTGTTTTGTTTTGTTTGAGTTCTGTCACCAGGCTGGAGTGCAGTGGTGCAATCTCGCCGCACTGCAACCTCCGCCTCCCGGGTTCAAGCAATTCTTCTGCCTCAGCCTCCTGAGTAGCTGGGACTGCAGGTGTGCACCACTACGCCCAGCTGATTTTTGTATTTTTAGAAGAAAAGGGGTTTCATCATCTTGGCCAGGCTGCTCTCCAACTCTTGACCTCAAGTGATGCGCCCACCTCGGCCTCCCAAAGTGCTGGGATTACAGGTGTGAGCCACCGTGCCCAGCCTACAAGCTATTTCCCCACAATATACTTGATCACTGTTGTTACCTGGTTACACAGAATTTTCATTCCAGGAAGCACAAATGTGATATATTCACAGTAATAATGGTCAGCAGCAAATCTTTTATTTAGGGAAGAAAGGGTGAGAAAATAAAAAAGAAGGAACCTGCCATACGGGCTGTGATAATCTTATATGCTCTAAGTCAGCCATATAGTAAATCTTCAAAGTATTAGGGATACATTAAAACATATTTGAAATGAAATTTCCAGCAATTAAGAATGCTTGGAATATGAAATTTAAAAAATAGCAGCAATAATTATCATTGCTATTGTTATTAACTCTTATACTAATTTAGAATAATAAAGGAAGTCATAGACGCTGTATCTCTAGGTCTCTATAAACCTTAATAAATATATAGTTTGTAGAAAACTTTATTGGAACGTCCCTTATATTCAATTAAAAGATAAATTAAAACCTCAGTTGGGATAGCAGCTTCTAAAGTGTCAAAAACACTTATTAAATTCTATACTCTTTGGTTATTTTCTTAAAATAATAAATGAATTCAGAAAAAAATAAATGAATTCAGCACATTAAAATCAGATACTTTGTATGTGAATTGCAATAACAGTATTATTAAGTGTATGAAAAAGGTCTAGCATTATTTATAAATTGCGCTATTAACATAAGCTTGAATTATTATACAATTAAAAAAACCAAACATTTAGAAAAAGTATTAATGACATCATATATACTTTACATTCAAAACCATGAATTATTATAACATATCTTTCAACCTGTCAGTAGAGGATCAAATGCAAAAAAAAAATTGCAGCAAATTTATCTAAACGAACTTAAAAATATAACACAGAGTTAAAACATTACAAATATTGTCTTTTGGGTTAGGCGGTAGTTATTTTAAACATTCAGAGCTACAAAGACTTTTATATAGTATAATAAAGACACATAGTTTTTTCTTTTTTTTTAAATAATACAGACACATAGTAATTATAAATATGTTAAACAATTTTAACTTTTGTTAGTTAACGAAAATCCCTTTAAGTTACTTTTGGCATGGTGCCTGAGGCTCCATCAAAAAACCGAATGGGAAGCATTGCTTATTTACAGCTTCATAACACGTAGGCTCTAGTCATCAGGTAGATTTCCAGTTAAAATGTAGGCTTGTTCATGTATTCTTCCAACGTCTGAAAGAGAACAATAAATTAGAACAATCTTCCCTTTAAGTCACATCCTTTAGCAGACTGTGAAATCTGCATTATTTATTTGCCATTGTTGAAAACAAGGTATCAAAAGGATACATGGATATGAAATCTTTGCATTCTAATCAAAGTTTGAGTATAATTTGTATACACATCCATATGGCTAGAATTAAGTGACTTTCAACTGAGAAAAAGTTGAATGTGATCATAAAATGAATGTCTGGTAAGAGTGGTGCTTGGCCAGCGCAGTGCTCACGCCTGTAATACCAGCACTTTGGGAGGCTGAGGTGGGTGTAGCTAGCACCTGAGGTCAGCCTGGCCAACATGGCAAAACCGCATCTCTACGGAAAAATACACACATTAGCTGGGCGTGGTAGCGCGCACCTGTAGTCCCAGCTACTCCGGAAGCTGAGGCAGGAAAATTGCTTGAAATGGGAGGCGGAGGTTGCAGTAAGCCAAGATTGCGCCACTGCACTCCAGACTGGGTGACAGAGTGAGATTCCATCTCAAAAA